TCTGGATTAAGATTTTTCTATACAAAACTCACATTGGGATTTTGGCATCCATGTTTGTAATTCTTAATGATTACTTTTATTTGCTAGTGTTGCCAAATGTTTCCTGTGCCTTTCTATTTTAATAACTAAACAGCTCCCCATAAATTTGATCTTGCCAAATGAGCTGCTCAGGTTTGCCATATGTTGCATAGATCAAATTGTCTTTCGGTTACTAGTCTGCACTCTTTGTTCTGCAGCAAAACCGTGCCTGCAGTTTACAAGCAAACAGCGTTTCAGCTCAGCAAAGGGCAAGACTAAGGTATATTTTAAAATGTGCATGACAGAAAGAAAAAAAAAGAAGACTTTCTTGGAAATCATATTATAAACAAGTTTTTGCAGCAATTTTTAATTGACAATTAGGTGCTAATTAAGCATCTAAGAAATGGAGGTCCTACTTTAATTTTGTGTACTTTCTTTTCAAGATGAAAGTTGAAGAAAACAAACGTTCTGATTACCTGGAGATAGTGATGAGGCAGCTCCCAGCAGGGTTATTGGGGTACAGTATGAATATGTGCTATATGCCCAGGTAGGTAAAAGGCATCCATAAAACAATAGTTCATGTCTAATTAAAACAAAACAAAAAGATATTCTGGGGGCATAGCAATATAACTGTAGGGTATCCAGGCCAGCGTCCATAGACTGAGACTGTATTTTATGCACGTAAACAAGTAAATCTTGGTTTGCTGGGATTTTGAAATCATCTACGCAGGTTAGGCAAGCAGTCCAGCTGGGTCAAGACGGATCATCTCGAAGATGTAATCGCCCGTACCAACAAGCACTCGACTGCAGAATTCACTACAGAAGTTTCTACGTGCTAAAGGCAGGAAGAGCTAACATGTGTCCAGTCTGCCACCACCTCAGGCAGGGAATATCAAAGCAGCAGAAAGGCAAATCTTCTCTTGTGCAGCCCTTTCTCTCCCTGTCTCCCCCATTATTTGTCAAGTAGGAAGACTACGTTAATATGTCCCATCGACAATGGGGCAGCTGAACTGAGACTGACATTGAAACCTAATTTGCTAGGCAAAGCTGTCAAAATAGGCAAATTTGGAAGTGATGAATGGTGGAGGGCTTAAATATTTTCAATACATTGTGATCAGTTCCACCAGTAAACAGTATTTGGTAAGCACCAGCAAAAAAATCATTGCAACATCATCTACAAGAATAAGTATTATATTCCCTTTCCAGGTAAAGAACTTCTGGCACGTCCTAGTAAGTACCTCTGAGAAAGTCTGTGGCAAAGCTGGGACAAGAACGTGTAGTTCCTTACTGTAAACCTTGTGCTTGGTCCCATTGCCTGTGGTTCCTTTCATACTTCTTTGTAACCTTCCTCTCTTCCCTGTTTGTAGAAGTCATTCAGCCATAGTAGGGGGGGGTGTTGCTGGTTTGGTGGCAGGTTTTTTTGGTGATATGCCTGAACCAACCCCCTAATCTGTCACACAAAAATCAATTTATAGTATGCTTACACAAGGCAATGGGGCATGATAAAAACATACCTGAATTAGTGCCAGTAGTGTAGCTACTTTGGCTTGATGCTGTCCCCAAAGTAATTAGCCCTGATGAGAGGCTCATTATCTAGGGCACATAGCCACGCTAATGCAGCTGCACAGTTTTGAGGATCCACGCTAAACAGAACCATAGAATCACTTAAGTTGGAAAAGACCTTTAAGATCATCGAGTCCAACCATAAACCTAAATACTAATACTGCAGATGATACTGTGGATATCATGTGGTGTTAGTTTAGGATTCCTGAGCAAGATAGTCCCTCCCTTACTTATCTCTCACATTATCCTCATTCTCTGATTCCCATCCAACCTGACACACTGTTAAACATTTTCTGATCCGTGAGTCATCCTTACCCCTTATTCATTAGCCCTTGCCAGTGCTAACCACAAATCTTTCACATTTAGTGGACTGTTGCCAATAGTTTTGTACTAACTCATGCCAGTCAAAGGTGCACAAGGCAGATCTAATGGCTGAACCCAATCAGAAAGCATCAAAGGTAGCTGAACATCCATAGATAGATTAGGAGATAGTCCTGGCACACAGATCAGACCCTTGGTATTTGAAGTAAATGAATCCCATTCCCCACATTTGTGTCTGCACTCATTGCAGAATTACACTTTTTCTTCCTTTTTTGGCTTCTGATTTTTTAATAGCAAGTTAACAGTCTCCTCATGACCACACCAGTCCAGACAATGCCTTGCTTATAGCTTTGTCCCTTTGTCTCATTCCATTTACATCTAAA